ATGACACAAGCAAGCACTAGCTAAATATAAGTGCACTTGTACTTGTTGTCCTTGCATGATGCATGAGTTCCCTCTGATGAAGTAAGTGAGAGCGAGTATGTGTTATGGTGTGATTTATGAAAACATAATCACGCATGTACACAAAAACCTTTTACCGTCAGCTTCCTAAAAAATAAATCAGAACCGACAGCAGAAATCGGTTTGATCGTCAGTCGATGGTGGTGAAAATATGTTAGCGCTCGATCGTCTCTCTCTCTTTTTTTTTGACATAAGATCGGCTCATTTCTAAAACCGACGGTCCAAACTACATTTGTACTGTCAGCAAAAATAAGAACTAACGGTATAATTAGAATTTGTACTGTGAGCTACTGAGCTATATCGACCAGGCAATAGTACATAAAGGCTTTAGCCTACAATTTATAATACAGTCTTTTGCCTGTAACTGACGGTAGAAATAACTTTTTTTCAAGAATGTGCATAGCACGTGTTTCATCGAGAAGAAGTTAGGGGGTTTATATGCCTAATATCACAACACAGTGAGGTGCCATGAGTGATGGGGTTGAACACAAACATAAGACACCGTTAGGTGGTGGAACGCACACTGTTGTAACTAACAAAAAAAACCTAAATGTGCGACCGAAGAGTTTGCGACGTTGAGCGAACCCGAGCTCAAGACGCCTGCGTCGGCGCCCGCCTCCTGCGAGCACCAGCCATGTGGAAGAGCTCCCGCATTGCCGCGCGCTAATTGGACAACAACAATGGCTCTTTGAACGTCTCCTGAAACCGAGTGACAGTAGAAATAACTTATGCCATCCCAAAGCAAAAACTAACATAAATATCTTGAAATGCCTACCATGTCATGTACGCATATTTGAAATAAACAGTTAAGCAATCTCAGTCGATGCTTGAGTCTTGCTTGTTAGTTTGGGCTTATTAATAAACAATTAGGCAGCAATAATGACAAATTCCATGCCCAGTCCAGCAATTCTATTATTGACTAGTGACCTTATCGGTAACGTGCTTGACATAATGACATGCCTATAGCGCTCTAGCTCGAACCAGATCAAGGTTACCAGCGTTGACTAGCTAGAGTTTTCTTTACACTAGGAGTACGTAGTTGCTATAGCAATACTCCATTCCAACATAATCACGCATGTACACAAAGTACCTGTTCGTTCTCTACTTGTGTAGATATCTACTGTTCCCTCCATTCCAAATTATAAGTCGCTTTGATTTTTTTGATATATCTATTTTGCTATGCACTTAGATATAATAATATGTCTAAATACATAGCAAAATAGATGTAACAAAAAAAGTCAAAGCAGCTTATAATTTAGAACAGATGGAGTATATCTAAAACCGAGATGCTCGCTGCATTATCTGCAGGGGAAAGAAACAAAAACAGTTCAAAGCTTCCCACGGTCAACTTACACTCCTACGCTAGCTTATAGATAAGGTCTTGATGATAATGCACACTGCCCAATATAATACGTGTGTACCAAGCAAAGCGTTTGTTGCAATTGTTTTTACTCAGAAAAAGCGGTGAAAATAGATATGGTCGATCAGATGTAAAATGTGTATTAGTTGCAAACGTCCACACTTGATAAAAAGGAAAAAATAATAGTGCCGAATCAAAACATACTTGGGAAATTACAGATGAAAATGAATTTAATATTTACAACCACTTATTTTCTCCGGGAAATTAACTATTTATTTATTTTATAAAATAAACTTTATCATTGAAAGAATTATAAAAATAAAAACTTCTATAAGACTCTAAGCTCATCACTAATAAAGCTTGGCACTAACTACTAAATCATTTCTATTAACTTTTTTTAATTTTTTGGTAGCCGCTGAATTAGCTTTAAGTGTTCCTGACACTGATCCTAGTTTTAGACAAGTTATTCATACTGGTGCATATCACTGAATAAATCTATAAATACCATTTTGTGTTATTAGGCCAAAATTTAAAGTTGCATGATTTTATAAGACAATAGCGAGGTCTCTTCTGCTGCCTTTGCGCAGCTGTATCACTGTATGTGACGTAAAATGAGCTTTGCAATAGTAATGTTTAGAGAATGAGACAATACAAATGACTACAGAGTAGAATCCAAGAACTAAATTAAACAATGCAAATTAACTCGAATTTAAAAAGTTACAATGTGGATTCCTATTAAAAATTCCAAATACTTTGTTTATATATTCACAAACATCGAATTATCTGCACGTATGCACCTCTCCTTATGTCACTTCATATATAGTAGTACTGCTGCTTCAGATTGTTCGTCGTTTATATATGCTGTGCACCAGTATAAGACTGGGCATTGGCATTTGGCATGTTTAGGAGGATGATGGTAGGCCCGATCCCCTTGGATTGGAATCTCTATATAGGATTCGTGCACCAAAAGCGGCAAACCGTCGTGCCACGTTGCCCGCTAAGCTGAGAGCAATTGGATCGGGAAAGAAAGCGATCTGGTCCGTCCGATTGCGAATCGGCCAGGTCGCGTACCCGCTTTATCGTCAACCCGAGCCAACGTGAACCTTCGCGGGCCGATACTTTGTCCGCTCCCACACCTCCCTCCTCCTCCTAGCGCGGGCGTGGCGGTTCCGGCCACCTCAGAGCAGGCGCGCGCGTGCGCGGGAGGCGGGGGTGTGTGTGTGTGTGGGGGGGGGGGGGGGTTGTGCACGGCAGCTGTGGCCACCCCAGCACGGACGTGCGGCTCGGGCACACCAGCCCCGGCGGGCCCCCTCCCACGGTGACCCCGGCGCGGCGTCCGCAGGCGGTGCTACAGGCAGCAAAAGGCGCGAGCGGCGAGTCGGGCGGACGCCGGAGGCAGGCTAGCAGCGCGACGCTGCGAGCCAGACGCACCACTTTGAATGCTCTCTGATGTGGATCTACGGCAGGTTTGCCCCTTCGTCCTCTCCAGAAGATGAATAGTACAAGCTAATGAGAACTTGCACATTTGTACAAATCCATGTAGAAACTTGTGAAAATCCTAGAAAAATAATTGTAGATCCAAATAATGTGAAATTAATTTTGTTAGATTCATAACTTTATCCTCTACCCGTGGAAAATATGTTTGCATATGTTACTCTAGCAAAAAAAATCTTTATTTATTATAATGTGCAGAATTTGATAAATGCAAAAAAATTCCCTGGGGCTCTACTAATTGCAACACCAATTTTATTGGATATGTTGTGATGTGGCCTTACCTGGAGAAATGCATATGCACAACCATCTTTACATTATAATGATTTATATGCTTTAGTTGCCTTATGTTGCGAAAAATATTGAATTTTTGTAGACATTAAATAGTATCTTTGCATTATGTCCTGTTGAATAGTTTGACAAAGGACCACCTGTCCTGTACCTATGACTATCATGGTTCCTCACAATTTTTGATAGACTCATACTTTATCAGAGTGGTTTGGTTTAGCAAGTGTAGAACCTAGGTAACAGGATTAACTTCTAGCTTAGGTCTTGGAAGCTTGCTTTTCCTGTCAACTGACACTAGCTTGTATTTTATTGAACTATAGACTGCATCTAAAAATTGATTGCTTCTTGGTGTGATCATACGTGAATGATTATTTTTGCCTATGCGATCTTGGGCTTAAGGCATAATAAATCAGAACAAAGAACTTGGATTATGTGTCCTTTGTCAGCTCTATTCTATATGCAGTGAGTGGCTCGGGGCGTGGGAGTACGAGGACCTGGGGTTCACCGGCCTCGCCCTCTGCTTCGACTACAACGCGAAGAAGCTATGAAATGGATTTCTAGGATTAGTGGAGGCTTTGTGGTGAACCTATGCTGATTGGACTATAAAATTTGAGGCTTGCCCTTAGCTCACAAGTTATATCCAGATCATGCTCAGGGTGTCTTCCTCCACGGAACAATGCCACCTTAGATTGTGTGCGATCCTCAGGAGTGGGGAAAGAAATCATTTCTATTTTTCTCTGAATTCTAGTAGGGGGTCACAAACCTCCTGTAAAAAAAACTCTGAATCTTCCTTGCTTCGATCTTTCTTGCATGCGTGCATGAGAGGTTCTTTCTATCTTTTGTGCCATGGTCGTTGGCTAATTGATTTCCATTCAATGCAGGTTAGCTGGAACAGGGCATGAGCAAAATGTGTGATTAATTGATGTTTCGTGGATTTCAGTTCTGATTCTATTTTAGTTTTTTTCACGTGAATTTCATCCCTATATCCTAATTTAGGCATTTGATATTTCTTCTGTTTGATGAATTTTCCATGCCCTACTTGCTTGTAGCAGGCAACTGCTGATGATTGGTTTGATTATGATAAATCGGTTTTGTGCTCCATGCCATGACTCCATCCAGGGGCAGCAGTGGAGTCAGCAAAGGGGGCGGCTAATGACGCAGAGCATAGGCAAGCAACTCACCTTCAACTCACTACCTATGCCAAACAGATTGTAACAAGTGTTAAGCGGTGACCGTGATTTCTAAAGGTTGACATCTGATCTCTTTACTAAAATTGAATTTTTGTCCAATTCGTACCAGCATCTCTAGAGGAGTACAGTCAAGTGTCCACAACATAGGTCCACAACATAGGTCGTAAAGTCTCTCTACTGCCTTTCCTGCTTTTTATATTTCTCAAAGACCATAAACTCACTTTGGAGTTCAGAAAAGATACAATATATTTAAGTACAACCACATTTTATACGTCGATCCTACTTATTTTTCTTTATGTAGTAATTTTTAAGGATTCATCCTACCATGATTTAATGCGATTCTAATTATTTGCAGGAATGTCCATCTCTTTACCTCCTTCGAAATGCCTCCATTTCTGGAATATCATTATGATTGGAATATCCTACATTAATACATATGCAGTCCTTTCTACTCCACATTGACATTGCGAGGTAGCCTAATACTGGCAGGTGCGCGGCAACGCCGCGCTTAGTTTCTAGTGGAAATGAACCGACTTTCCATGGCGATCCAAAAGGATTAGGTGGGATCCTTGCCTATCCAAACACCGCTGTAATCAAGTAACGGTAAGCTGGGGAAAGCTCAACGCCCGGTGGGGCGACTGCGGCGAGAGCAGCGGCAGGGTGCCGAGCAATGCCTCCCAGTACTGCTCCCAGTTCCCGCTCGACGGCGTCATGGGGAACCCCACAGCACCCGATCCCGTATCTTCCGTAGGAGACGACGTCACCGTCGACGAGGCGGTCGCTGTGGTCTCGCGCGTCGACATGGACGACGACTGAGAGGCGGAGGAGTACACCTGGCCCTGGGACGACGACGAGTAAGCAGGGACCTCACCAACAATCTTCACTTCCTTTTTCACCACGGCGAGCACCTCGACGTCGTCGTCGTCGGGTTCCTCCACCAGCAGCTGCGGCCGCTTCCTCTTGTTCGTCGCTGTGGCCGTGGCTGCCTTCGTCTTCGCCGGAGCGGGCGGCGGCGGGGCCCAGAAGTCGGCGCCGCGGGTACCAACGTCGTTGGGGAAGTTGAGGATGGCCTTGGCGCCGCGCATGCGGAACGCGGCGCGGTCGTACGCGCGCGCGGCCTCGATGGGCGTGTCGTACGTGCCGAGCCACACGCGCGAGCCCCGGCGCTTCGGGTCGCGGATCTCCGCCGCGTACTTGCCCCAGGGCCGCTGCCGGACGCCGCGGTACTTGCGGAAGTCCTCCATGGCCTCGGCCGCGGCCGCTGCTGCCAGCTGTGCGGCGGCGGGCGCCGTTGCTGCCGCCGAAGCGTACGGCCTCGGGGGCACGGCAATGGTCAGAGGCTGCCTGACGGGGGATGAGTGCTCGCTTCCAAACGCTATTATCACCGGTGGCGCTGGCTCCTGCTCCGGGAACGCCGCCGCCGCCGCCTCGCCCATGTTGGCCATGTACTCGTTGGCCGGGTCCATGTCTATGTACCCTTGCTGCGGCGGCAAGAACGGCATGGGCTCGAATTCTGGTTGAGGCGGCAGGACCGGGAAGGTAAGGTCGTCGGGATCTACGGTGCTATCCACGGGGCCGCCGCCGCAACCACGGCCGAGCAGGTGCTCGCGGATGAAGTCGAGGGCGAAACCGTCGGCGTCTCCGGTGAAGGCCATGTCCACTTCTAGTTGTCGTAGCTGGTGATGTCGAGGAGAGAGGTGTCACGAGAACTGGGACTCTGGGTCTCGGTGGCAGCTCCAGCTACACAGGTGGCCCTTGTGCTTTGCGAGTCTGTTTCTATGCTGTGCTGTCTGAGGACAAAAGTTGGGCGGTGCTCGTTCGTATTTATAGGATAGGCAGAGAAAACAAAGGATTTTTCTGATGCGGTGAATTATTTGAGCTCCCTTGATTAGTACTTAGTAGACTGGTTCTACTCTGTTGGGTCGTATAATCTATGTATTATTATAAACTTTGATTCTCCCGGTCTAACGAGTTCGTCTGGACCTGCTGATCAGACTTGAGATCAACTGGAGGTAGCTTCGCGCGACTGAGCGTACGTCTCTGGCTAGCTGTCTCTTTCGGTTTTCGCCAGAGTTTCGAAGATGTGTGACTCTGCAGGAAGAAAAATGTGGCTGTAATGGCTCATGTCTTGTTCCATGGAATTCGAAGTCATTCCAATTCATATTCCAAAAGGAATTGAAACGGCTGGAAAGTGATCCAGACGTGAGTTAAGTTCTTGAAATTAGAATTTATGAACATAGGGGAAAGTCAGAAACTACCCACTCTATGATGTGGCTCATTGTCACCTATTAGATCGACAAAACAGGTTAAGCAGCTATGTCATCATCAGAGAGATAAAGATGACATGGCTCAATATTAGCCCTCTACTCTAGTGACTAAAAGTGAGGCACATCATATCATAGGCTAGGTAGTTTCCCTTTTCTGTTCGCAAAGTATTGTTAGTAACCTTTTATGTTAATAAAGTCAGAAGTTCATAACTTAGAAGCATATATCTTTCGCGTGATTTAGAGGCATATGTGTAGCACTTTTGGATATTTTTGTATTATGACAAAGGTAGTTAATTTAGATGAAGATATTGGGGTCACTTTAGATTATTTTTAACAATGGCAAATATAGATAATATAGATGCCAATTTAGGGGTATATTAGTTTTTTTAAATAGTATAGGTTGATAATTTAGATGATGATTTATGGGATTACTTCATAATAGCATAGGTGGATAAATTAGATATAAATTTAGGTGTATTAATTTTGACTTAAATTTCATAATGACAATTGTGGGACTTTTTTTTTTGGAAAACTAAACAAATTCACTGACGATCAATGTCGGTGATGATTGGAATCTACTCATTTGATGGGCAGGTGCCTATGATTTTTATGTGAATTTCTAGAATTAATTATATGCCTTGTGACGGTTAACTTAGGCTAGTCTCAATGATGGTTTTATGAGCATTAAATAAGCCGATGTGGCATAGTATTAATGAAGAGAGATGTGATAAAAATTTCATGGGATGAAATGAGTTTTGTTGGGATGAAACTTATCTACAGTATTTTTTTCAATAAATAAGAGTCTTGGAAACAGTGAGATGAAACTTTCACCGAAAGACTAGCCTTAGAAACTTCGAATGGTTCCTTAATTAGTAGTAGTGAGATGAGAAGGCTATGTCAAGTCTACAAACTTGATGGCCATGGATGTTTTGCTTTTTGGGTGGGAATTTCTAGAAATTTCTCTGGTTTTGTAGCACGGCTCGTAAGAATTAATTAATGTGGATGCTTCAATGAATCATGTAATAGTAAGATTGGACTAGATAAAAATCACAGAAAACACACTTTCTTCAATTGAGTAGGGAAAGAAATTTAGACAACCAAACTAAAGTCATCTTCGTTATAGCTTGCACAGATTGTTACAAATCTAAGATCTGTTTGTTGTAGCTTGCAGATTGCAATAACCTGAAAGCTAACTTTCTCACGACATGCAAGGGTATATTATAAAACAAAAATGGCTTAAGTTTGCAAAGCCGGCGAGGCGGCGACCACGAACTAAATCACGCGTATATAGGCTAGTAACTTTCCCTAGTTAAGGACGCGTGTTTGGATATACGACAGTGATTCGTCGGGGTTAAAGTTGGATGTGCCGTAGGGCAAATGGGCAATCTTTGAATCTGATGGTAGTGTCGAATCCAACACACGCTTTCTTTTAGCGTTACATGAATTGTCATTTCGTGGGCCGGGGAGCGCGTCAACAAAGAACAGCTAGGTAATTACTTTTGTCTAGTCTAGGAGAAGTGCTCCGACCATTCTGCTTGCTATGTATAATAGCTTCTACTATCAGAAAAAAACAAGGCCAATTGGATCGATCGGAAGAAGAAATCTATATAAGCACTATGCTGCTACTAGTTTAAAATTAAACATGAACGGGACAAACCATGCATGTATCTTTTGGACGCAGGGAAATTTCCACCAACTGATATTATATATATATATATATATATATATGTGTGTGTGTGTGTCCCGGTGGAAAGATAGAAGTGGTTATTCCTCGCTTCTCACGGTTATTTAGATTCTCTTAGCTTTCGTCCTTGCTAGAGCATTTGCAAGAGACTCTCTATATTCCTCATAAATATTAGGAATAGAAATTTTGGTGAAAAACTATCCTCCACCAACTTCTCTAAATGATTATTCAAATATAGTTATTTTTCATTCCGGATTTTTCGCTAGCAAAAAATAGAAGACGAGAATAGCTCTCTAGAGTGCGCATGATATATAGAAAAACTGTTGGAGAGTGAAAAGATATAGAAAATGATTTTTATGCAAATGACTCTTCAAATAATAATATAAAGAGTGAGATTTAGAAACACTATTGAAAATGCTCTTATTGTGTCCAGCTTAGCCGCCTGCTGTCAGACCATGAGCTATTAGAGCAAGGCTAATAATACAGCCGGCTGCTAGCTGCAAGGACTCTTACAGCCTACCTCTCAGTCTATCCATATAGTAGTTAGCTCTTCAGCATTCATACATGGCCCATTTGTCTCTCTCACAGAGTTTCTCGGTTCTGGTGTCTAAGCCGGCTATAAGCTTACAGCCCGCTTCTCTTCTCTCTCCTCTCCTCTCTCCTCCCTTCTCCACGTTAGCATTCAGTCTGCTTACAGCCTATTATTATCCTTGCTCTTAGGTACGTATATACTTGTAACGTTCCATAGCATCTTTTAACGGTCGTTGGATCTTGGATGGGTCGACGTTTCATAGGAGATCGTGAACTGTCGGGCCCTAGCCCCCATGAGAACCTACTCTTGTAGTTGTAGTCTTGTGTAGTCCCAGAAATGCACGAAGCGGGGGCTCCATGTGTGTACAAGCATGTCGACACTAAACTCGTGAGTTATCCTGCTCTCGATATTATAGTTGTGTTGCCTAGCTGCTGCCACCAAATGGAAACATACAAAGTGGTACTGCCTTGGTTTACCACAAGTGCATGTGAAATTTTGGAGGATAACCACATGCATCCTCGACTCTCGGACCTCGCCGTCGGACGTTGTACCGCCCCTATGCTCGACCTGATAAGTCCCTATGGCATGGTCAAAGCATGTAACCTCTTGTGTGCCAGCCCTTTCATTTGCCTTCTCTAGGTGTGCCTTTGGTTTCAGAGCCCATATCTCTCTCCATCACTCCGCAACTTCAATGCATGGACGTGTCTATCGTTGAACCAGACAATAAGCTTGTAGAAGGTGAATTGAACGATTGCATTCACGGGCATACCACATATTCCCAATAGCAACTTATTGAATGACTCTGCCATGTTGCTGCACTAAAACTCGTACCTCCATGCACCGGCGTTGTGAGCTCTTGTCCATTTCTCCAAATCCCTCATCAAACCTGTGAGCTATTGTCTACCTTCTGCATTTGATGAGGTTCTGACCTGCTCTAACTTATTCTAAAAGTACTTGTCCTCAAGCTGTCGAGTAGGCTCCTGGAACAGATCAAAGTTATCCTTCACACCATCCTTCTGGAGTAGATTCTCGACAAGGTGCCGAGTACACCAACGATGGTGCAAAGGTGCATACCCCTCTATCTGCTCTCGCACGACATTTAGTATGCCTTGGTGCCTATCAGATATGATGCTAACCTCCCTACCAGGCCCAACCACATGTATCCGGACTAGCCTCAAGAACCATCCCCAACTGTCATTGTTCTCCTTCTCAACCAAAGCAAATGCCAAATGAACCAACTTGTTATTCGCGTCACAGGATATGGCTATAAGAAGTGTGCCCTAGTATTTGCCAATTAATAACGTACCATCAATGGAGAAGATGGGACAACAGTGCCTAAAGGCCTCGACACACCGAGGGAAGCACCAGAAAGCACGGAAGAATATCTGCCTCCTATCCTTCCATGCATTTGGTTTTGGGATGTACTCATAATGCATGCCTGGATTCACCGCTTTGATTGCATTGAAAGTACTAGCAGCTGCTCATACCCATCCTCCCAGTCCCCATATATCATCTTCCGTGCTCGCTGCTTAGCCCTCCAAGCTTTACCATAATTTATCACATAACCTCAATACAATGCCTCAACGGTCCTGATAATTGTCCTAACCTTCATGTTGGGTTCTCCCTGCAATATTTCCATCAACCGCTTGGCAATGAGGGTAGATGTCAACTGCCGATGCCTCAGTGACAACACATGGTCAGCACAATTGTATGGCTCGACAACTTATGTGATCTTCCACTTTCCGGTGACCTTTTGTTTCCTTGCACAAACCCTCCATGGGCAGCGTTCATTGTCACACACAACTGTGTAATGGCGCTCCGCATATGAATGCAAGACCTTGTAAGGTCTCTTTCGTATCACTGCAAACGCCTGCAACCACCTCTCCAATGCAGGGAGGTCCTTGAATACCCTCCCATTCTCAATTACCATGTTAGGGCCGGCCTCGGGAGCTTCTAGGAGCTCATCATCACGTCCTTTTGCACACGCCTGATCGGAATGAGCAAGATCGCTGAACTCATGAACTCTTGGATCACGGTGGCCAGGAAAGATACGCCTCAGCATCTCAATATCACTCTGTCAGCTCTCCAACAGGGCGATCATCATCAGAATCAAGAGCCCTTGCCATCTCATATGGCTCCGAATCATTCATAATTTCAACACTATTGGAGCCACGGAATCCATCTCCACAGTGCACTCGCGTAGCAACAGGGGGCACATCCACATTGTCAGGAATGTCTCCTGCAATATAAGTAGAGAAATGAGGAAAGAATGAAAGAAATGGATGTAAGGAAGGGGGTAAGCTCCCAACAACCATGCGGATAAGACACTTACTCGGATTATTCTGTGTCAAAGGGATCTCATGAGGAGGATCTACCACAACATCATGAGTCTGACAAGCATCTCCAACTACCTGATTGGGGGCAGATTGAGCATCGGGAACCGTAGGTGCAACCTCCACATCCATATCAGGTTTCGGGACGGGAGGGTCGAAGTGTGCCTGCTGACCCATTCGTGGGGAAAACCCATGAGGGATGGGATCAACTAACACCCGACGCACAACCACGTCCAAATATTGTAGGTGGCTCTTCATAGCCGATCTCACATAGTTCTTCCACTGATCCGCACACCCAATTGGGATCATTCTCCTGAGGATGTTGGGAGGAGAACCTAGGTGCAGTACACCCTCAACTGCAATGCCATCATCATCATCAGCTCCAAGGCAATGCAGCTCCTCCCGAGCCCTTGCAACCATCTCACTAAATGAAGGCCTATCATTGAATAGCACAGGCACGCTTTGCATGTCAACAAACTCAATATATCCATAGTGATCGCATTCAACGGTGCCTCCATGATATATGGTCACTAGGTTGTCCATCTACTTCAAACACATAACAAAACACATGTCCTTTAGTCCAAATTAGACGATAGATAGTACCTAACAAGTACTTTCTAACTACAAACTAAGTAAATAAGATAATAACTACGTGTGTGTATATATATATATATATATATATATATATATATATATATATATATATATATATATATATACAGTGTACCCACTAAATAGCAAGATGCTATTTAGTTAACTAAATACATAACTACCTATCTAAGTAGCTATCTAACTATATCTATGTACCTATGTATCTATGTTTCTATCTATCTACACATCTATCTCACTAAATCACTAACTAAATCAACTACTTGAGTCATCACATTAACTAGTAAACAACAAATGCCAAAACTACTACACTACAATCAAAGCTAACTAAGTACGCACATTGCATATTCACAATTTTTACCTGTCCAACGATGGAGTCACGGACATCGACGGAGTCGCAGCGGACGGTGGGCGTGGGTGAGGCCGACGAGCCGGGCTAAGCGGTGCACACGGTCGTTTGTCAGAGGGCTGGGGCGACGGTGGCGGCCTGGCGCGGCGGGATGGCATGTGCAACGACGGGCGGGCGTGGCACGCACGACGACGAGCGGCGCGCGCTGCCACAAGATAGTGCGGCAAGGCGGGCACCTGCGCGGGTGGCACGGCGAGCGAGGCCGGGCGCGGTCGTGGGTGGCACGACGGGCGAGGCCGGGTGCGGTGGCCGGGCGCGGGAGAGACCGGGCGCGGTGGCCGGCGTGGTGGACGCCGTGGGCGCGGGCGAGAGCGTGGGGAAGGGCGCGGGCGTGGGCAGCGACGGCGGTGCGCTGGTTCGGGGCGAGAGAGAGAGAGAGAGGAAGAGAGAAAGGAAGGGAGGGCCCATACGTAAGGTAGGCTTAGCGCCAATAACCACGGCGCCGAGCTCAGCGCCAAGATCTATGGCGCCAAGCTTGGTGCCAAGATCTATGGCGCCGAGCTGCCTGCCAAGTCACCGCCACGTCTGTGTCGAGCCCAAGACCTCGGTGCCAGCAATGATGGCGCCGAGGCGTGTAAGCTCGGCGCCAGCAACGATAGCGCCAAGCTAAGGGTCCAGATTTTGGAATCTTATCTCCAGTGGTATATTTGTGAATTTTTTTCAAAAAAAGAGCTAAAAAATAAAAAATTCAGGGTGCGGGACGTAAGGAGCTTCGATGGCTCCTTCCATCCCCTAGTGGCGTAGCTGTAAATGTAGACCGTAGTTGCCTACTTGTATGGAGAGATGATCGGTAAGGTTTAGGGTAGGGATGTCAACAGTGTAATTGATCTGCATCTTGTTCCTACCAAGGGTAATAGATTTTCCGTCACGTTCCCGCAAACGCTCGCATGAAGGTTTAGGCCTTGTTTGCGAACGCTTATCTGAGAATCGATTTTAATCTCATTAGGATTTTCTAATAAGCTGCGATCTAAAGAATCTGCTGTATAAACAATTGAGAGTGTTTGGCAATCCTGATTATTGCCCATAGATTGTCTGTCCTGAGTGTAAAATGACCTGTATGCCCCTGAGGCTGATGACACCTCATTTGTTCATTGAATACGAGCTAAAGACAGTTATGGTACTAATTTTTTGTGTTCGCATAATTAAAAGTTTGTTCCAATAACTAATGTTACATAACATGAAATTAACACAAGTCTGGACAAATTGAGATGGATACAACAGTTAATCAACCAACTATAGCCGTGGCTATAGCATCACGCAAAGCACTCATATTCATGTCATCTCCAGAAGCACTTCCTTCACCTGAGCTAGATTCAGGTCCATTTGTACCATCTTCTTGATATGCGATTGAAAGTCAACATCATTTATGTTATTGTCTCTAATGAAATTATGAAGGGCCATACAAGCAACTATAATTTTTTGATTGCTTGTTCACCGAATATTTGGGCAGCTTCAAGAGAATACGCCATTTCATCTTCAGGACTCTAAATGACCTCTCAATCACGTTTCTCAGACTTGAATGCGAATGATTGAACACCTCCTTCAATCCCACCGAAGTACGACTATGTTGCCATTCAGAAACATGATACCTTTGTCCCTTGTATGGTGCAAGATACCCTTTTTTATTAGGATATCCTAAATCGACCAGATAATACTTTTTTACATTTTAGAATGTACAAGTTAGTTAAAACACACCTCAGATCCTTGTACATTGCAAAAAATTGCATTGGAATGTAAATGATTTATAACTTCGGGAGGGTGTGGGAATTGTTACTTGTATGTGACTAGAGTATCCAAAAAGACACGACTATCATGCACAGATCCGGGCCAACCAGTGACAACAAATATGAACCGCATATCAAAGTCACATACTGCCGTTACATTTTGCGAAGGATAACCATGGCGGCCAATGTATTTAGGTTGCTCATGCAATGGAACAGTTACTGGTATATGTGTGCCATCGATTGCACCAATGCAATATTTGAAATGAGGCCAAAATCTAGCTTCTTGTAGCTTAGGATGTATAGAACCAAAATGTGGATCTCTAGGCCTCACAATGTCAAAAGCCAACTGCATGACACATTCAAGTATCTCTGTAAATTTTCTGCTAATAGTTTCTAATGAGTGGGCGAACTTGTTCTTCACTTGCCTAAATGATTGAGGTGCACCACATGCCCACAAAAACATTGCTAAGGCTTCCTTGGTACACATTCCTCTACTTGCTTTCAAGCCATAATCTTCTACCAAGTTGTCATGAAGGTGAAGAAAAACTGACCTTCTCATTCTAAACATGTTATAGCATTCAGTTGGATTTTGGAGTGTGATCTCAACCCATTGGATTCCGGTCATAGATGGAATTGGCATAGGAATTTCAGCTTCCTTTCTACTTGTACCGCCCATGCACTCCAAAGTAATGTATGCCACCATAAAGTCGTCGTCATCTGTTTCAATTTCACTAGAAGCACTAGATGTACTCATAATTATTTGTCACACAAAAAGATCCACCAATTAGATATTTTGTCACATACAACATTAGGCAAATTATAAATAGTATCATGACACAAAGGAATTTGGCACATTAAATAACATTGTCTCACAAAGGAAGTTGGCAAATTAAACAACATTGTCTCACACAAGAATTTGAAAAAATAGCATAGTCTCACACAACAGCTTGGAAAAATAAAATAGAGATGTGACTGCCACAGTCTAACACTAATTCTTATTCTTGTCTTCCCATGCCCTTCGCAGCCATCCTAACCTCCCACTAGGTGTCTTCAAAGTACTGAACATGTCACGGTACTCCTTCTTCATAAGTAGTTGTGTGGCATAGTAGTGCTCATCACTCCCTTCTTCAGCACCATCCCCAATGACTTGATCAATCATTTTAGTAACCTCATCTCTAACATGATCAATGACATGTGAAGTGGCTGACTGTTTACTACTTTGCGCCTTCTTCTCATATGCATCCACTAAACGCTTCATGCATTGATCTCTAAAAGTCTTCTTCTTCTTTTTCGGAGGTGAAGTTGGGGCAGGTCTTTTTTGAACCCGTTTGTCTGAAGTGAGTGTGACCTTTGGTGTCCCTCCGTCCTCACTGATAGCATCAGCAGCACCCTCACTTTCACCTGTTTGAACAGCATCACTAGCACCAACAGGAATATATGAAGTCTCATTTGTAACACTAATTGCATCAAACATGATCCGCTGCTGGTCCTCATGCTCAAGTGGATTATCTCTGAATGTTGTACAACCTGACATAGCTTGAAAAATAAATAAAAAATAATTAGATATTTGTAAAAAAAAACATAACAACTTGCATATGAGTTAAAAATACTAGTGATTTGTATGCTCACCGCATTTTGCTCTGCCCACCATTCATCGGAAGCCACAATACAACTAGTGGTAGGATCCCTCCCTAATCCAGTAGCTCTCTTATTCAAAGTTTTCCACCGGTTATATTTCTTTTTCATTGTATCCCATCTATTCTTCATTTGTGACTCATTATAAGGCCTCTTGGTACGTTGCATAGCTCAAACTATTCAAGCAATGCCCAGGCCTATTGTGGGCAAGAACTTCTTCCACACAAATGTCGTTGAAGGCCTTGGTAACAAAAGCATTCCATTTTGCCTGAACTTTTGCTGACTTGTCCATTTAAAATCTCCACGGACTAATAAATATGTAAAACACAAGCATTCAGCATTATATTTGAAGAAAAATTCCTAACCAATTCCTAAAACACAAGCATTCAACATCTGCACAGACTATGTCCCTAACCATGCTATGCATATATAATTCGTCCATTTGCAATACAAATCAAACCTACAATCCATACATCGGTAAAGACAAGTACCTGAATAGATCTTGGACAAGGGATGGTTCAACCAGCACCAGCTTGAGACCTTCAGTCGGAGCGGAAGAAAGGTCGGAGCAGAGGAAAGGGCGACGGGGAGCACGAACGGAGCCGGCCTCCACCGAACGGAGAGATGCGGTCGCCTCCGAGGAAGATGACGGGGAGAGGGCTAGCTACCAACCGAGCAGCGGGAGCGGCGCCACGAACGTCATCGACGAGCGGACAGGGAGGGGCGGCGCGACCTAAGGCGGCGGCGGCGCAAACCCTAGCGCTGGAGTCGCGAGCGGAGAGAGCGGACGCGAGCGCGGACTGGGGAGCGGAGGGGCAGCGGGTGGAACACAAGTCCGCGGTGGGGAAAACACACCCCTTCGCTCGCGGTGCGAGAAACGCACGACCCAGTGCATTTGGGATTATTTCTACCTCCCGCTTATCTGAGAATCTAAAATAATCGAAGGTGTTTGGGTGGGATTATCGCTTATTTTCGCCTCGATTCTGATTTTAAGCGGAAACAAACACGCCCTTATTTCCTTCTAGCTCCGTCTCCATGCGGGGAATTTACTCTCGTGGGCAACCTATTTCCGTTACAAAATACAACAATTGAAGAGCAAAAGCAAATTCATAGTGTCAAATCAAATAAATTGAACAAGCAAGATTCCATATTACAAGGGACATCTAATTTAGGGTTTAATTTACTATTTATGCCAAGCAATGTGTTGAGGTTTTGATTGGATTTTAACATGCCAATGCAAGGGCCTAATTTAAAGTAAGAGTGAATTTGCGGGCGGGTACACGGGAACGGGAACGGGATGGTACGTTTCCCATCCTCATATCCTCACGAACCCGACGGTGACTAATCTTGGGGTCGTTCGGTCGTTCTTTGACACCTTGAATTAGTTATAAGACTAGATCTGATTCGATCGAGTAGAGGGGCAGCTTAGCTTAGTAGACTTGAAGCATACGTATATGACCGTTACCTACCTGTGTACTTCTACCCGGTTGCCATGCAGGTCCCACGAAGCTCGCTCCTGTGTCCGTTTTCAACCGCTCAATCGGAAGTCGCCGCTGAATCAGGATGTGCAATAATTTATACAATATCTTTTAAAGATTATAATCTTACAATAATTACTAGATTTTGCTCTTACAATATGCGATCACCTGCTGCTACCTGCTACAAAATTAAAATTGTCTTATTATATGACGAGTCTATAAATACATTTCTTTTTACCAAACATCTTAATCTTAATATTTTACTACTAACCAAAAGTCTCCAAAGGAGTCGATCTCCACGTTAAGACGTGCTAGAAAAAAATATAAATTTTAGAAATTCTCACAATAATGTCAGAATCGGGCTATGTCTTACCATGTATACCATGCACGCATTAGAGATACATACATATTTTTATATTTTATCGATCATAAAAAATTTTCCTTATCAAACCGCGTACCAATGACACCCTATTCATAATAAATTATACTAAAACTCTTTGCTAATAATGTCATATCAATACTAGTTTAACTTTGAGTACTCTACTATTTTTCATAAAAATTACAACTACACATATATATAATTGAACATCTTGAGCACTGTGGTGTAGACTTTTATGCTATTATAATAACTAAGAGCAATGTCGGACCTATAATCCATTTTTAATAAAAGATAAAAGATTTTTTTTGAATAAATTGCAATAAACATCATAGTTTGAATTTAACACATGGATAAAAATTATGATAATTCATAAGATCAAAAGTTGAAAGCCAAAATATAGATCATGATGTCATAAACAGAATACGACAAAAGATGATATAAATTAAAGTAAGGTTTCAAAAATCCACAAAGGCACAATGCAAATGGTGAAAGAACACATAAAGGTAAATGGTAAATTTATCACAATCCTATAGAGATTATAGAGTATCTAAATCTAAATGGATATTACGTTAGAAAATGAAGAGAGAGAAAGAGCAAAGATAATAGATTTTGATTAGTTGTAAGTGTGATAAGTTATTCATGATTCTTCTTAATACTTATGTAACATAGAATTGTAGAACGTGCTGGGGCATGATCGAGTTTAATTAGGGACTACCTAGTGCTCATAATTTTACTTGTTGTTGTTGTTGTTGCAAATTGAGTTTGATTCTTTCTAAATTTGAACGTGCCTTAATTGAATAGACCGAGATGGAGCAGAGAAGATTCTGGCGGCTTCTCTTTAATTTACTCATTGTTGGTCATGCTTGTGCAGAGCTAGCTAACCGGCAGCTAAGCCCCATCATCAACTAACCAGAAAAAAATGGCGGCTAAGACAGATTAGCTTCTGTAAATTAAACTCAGTTACTATTTTCTCTGTGGACGAGACATGCATTGGCCACAGCATATTTATATTAATATCCCTGATGAACGTCTAATTATTAATGAGATAGGTACCTCATTAGACACCTGGCCACTAGCACTAGGGGCACAACATGTCAACATGTGTACATGCACACTGATAGGAATGGAAAACTCGGTAGACACGCCGAGCAACGTGGGGGTACTGGTAGTCTGGTACGTTTCAGTCAACCCCATGTGCTGTGCATGTACACATGTAGCGTACATGCAAGCGCATGCTAGTAGACGTTTCCACGCTCAACCGATGGTACCATCGCTGTGGCCTCTTTTTTTTTTTTATGTCTAATAACAATTCTGGGTACTTTTGGTACTAGGAGTACGATCAAAACAAATGAACAAAATAGATGTTTCTGTAGAACGTGTGGCCAACTTTTGTAAACTTGCTCAACAAGGTACATATCTTTTCTGTGAGGAACCCAGACGCACATACAATTATTTAATTAATTATATTTCACGAGATATTGTTAGCAGGAGCTATATATATCCCTGTTGAAGACCACCCCCTTAATTAGAAAGACCAATCCACCAATATATGGATTCTCTTGTGTGGAACTATTAATAATACGTATATGCATGCAGGAGAAGTTCGTTTTGTAAGGATGAGGATGGAGGGTCTTATATACGGGTATACGACGACCAGGTCATGCACATGCTGCCACACGTTATATCTACTACTAGTAGTATAATTTAAGTCGGGCACTGGTATCTCAAACAGCCGCCGATATTATCGACCAAACGAAGGAAACAAAAATCGAGTTATTTTAAAACCTTGGAGGTCTCGCGCGCGAGAGACGACGAACCCTATTCCAAGTTCATCTATGGTATTGTCCAAGATACTGTATCTGTATATATTAATTAGTACTCCGTATATCCTAACGGAACAGCTCAAGCATATCGATCGACGTCGACCGACTGACAGGTCAACACGTATGTATGTACATGTCCGTTGCCCTAAACGTACAGCTAGAGACATACTGACCTTGACCCGACCCGCTTCGGCCGGCCGGCCGGATCAGCACGTAAGGACTACGGACGCACGTCGACTCGTCGCCCACAAACCGGCGGATCGGCCATGCCCGACCGAATGTTTCCCTCCGAGCCACGTAAGGGCGTCCACAACAGTGCCACTTCAGCTAGTTTATAGGAATCTATGTCAGTATTTTTATTATATGGAAGAGCAGGAAGATGAAAAAAAGAAGAGACTATCTTTTATCTCAACACTTATTTCGCTTAGAAAACGAGGTAGTTTGTGAGCCTACTCATAAAGAATAAGAGAGGGAGGAGAGAAGATTTTATCGCGTCACATATGAAACTTAATAACGATTTAGCTTAATTTTTCATGGGTAAGCACCAAAAAAGGCCTGGCCTGACCCATGTCAAACTACTTTAATATTCCTTTGGTGTACTTCGCTTGGTGCACAAATGTCCCATCTCTGGTTTGCTTGATTTGGAGCCCAAAGAAAAAGGTCAGTTCTCCATCATACTCATCTCAAACTCCCTACTCAATGCCTTTGCAAACTAGGCAACAAGTGCATGAGAAGAGCCACCAAACACGATATCATCCACATAAATTTGGACCAAAGTTATGTCATTGCCATGCCTGAGAGAAACAAAGTTTTATCAACTGACCATATTTCAAAAACTTGTGCAAGAAGAGAAGTTTCAAACGAGCATACCCAGCTCGAGGGGATTCTTTCAAACCATATATAGCTTTTTGAAGTTTGTAAACATTGGTTTGGAAACTTTCAATTTTTGAAGACAGTGGGTGGCCTCGTTCGTGTGCCCTTAAACCCGGTTTGATCCGCTTCTTTTTTCATCCGGAACAGTGTTTTTCTCTCACAAATTCCTCCAGCATTCCTCCAAACCATCCAAATTTCTCCAGCCGAACACCCCCATAGGCTTCTTCCTCTTTTTGTAAACGTTCAAGAAGGCACTTTTAACTTCCATTTGAAAAAGTTTGAAACCTTCAGAAGAAGCAAACACTAAGAGGATCCTAGTAGAATAAAAAATTATTTACACGTGAGG